GGGCTGCAGCTGCTGCTGTGCTGCTGTTGTGTCTCAGGGGTTCCACCGTGGTCACTAATATAAACACACAGGCGTACGCGCGCGTGCACACACAGGCACGTATATACACACATAATCACACATATATGCGTGCACGTGTACACACACACGCTGAGATTACACACATACATGCATCCACATGCACATTGAGACTACACACGTACATGCGTGCATAAGTGTGCGCACACACACATGCTGAGACTACACTCATACATTAATGCACACACTTGCTGAGACTACACTCTCATATATGCATGCACACACACACGGAGACTACACACATACATGTGTACACACACGTACACACACACTAAGACTACACACGTACATTCGTGCACATGTGCACACACGCACACATAAAACATGCCTTTACATAGCACAAACATGCATACACATGTATATGAACACATTTATTTTCCTGAAACACTTGTTCCAGGCGCAAAGTTCTTTGTTTATTTTGTTTTTTTTTTTTTTGTTTTGTTTTTTTTTGTTTGTTTTTTTTTGAGGCAGGGTTTCTCTGTGCAGCCCTGTCTATGCGGAACTCTCTCTGGAGACCATGCTGGCCTCGAACTCAGATCCACCTGCCTCCCGAGCGCTGGGATTAAAGGGTAGACTCAAGAGTTGCAAATGGCAGGCAGGAATTTTAATTGGAAGTGTGTTGTGTGTGCCCCATTTTATGTTGTGGATTTCTTAGGCGAGCTTGTCCTAGGCTCTGGAGATACAGTAGTGATTGAAACAGGGCTGGGACGTGTGTGTTTACATCCTGTCAGAAGAAGACAGGCAGTAAAGAAAGGGTGAGAACACACTCCTTCTAGGAGTGCTGTTGAGTAAGGTGGTGAGAAAAGGCCTTTTTAAAAAGTAGGTGGGAAGCTGAACCATGTGCTGCCTAGTGGACAAGAGTTTACTTAGGCTCTGAGACAAAGTAGAGAGCCCAGTGTGGCTGGAGTAGAGGGAGGAGAAC